TTTAAAGAAATAATCCAGGCAGTTTGACAACTTACCTGGGGTCTGCTGGGATATAGGGCATAGGAGCAGTGGTATGTATGAAGGGTGAAGTGTGTGTGAAAAGTGCAGTGTGTGTGCGTGTGTGTGTGAGCGGTGAAGTGTGTGTGCGAGTGCGTGAGAGCGGCAGTGTGTGTGTGGGGGGTAGTGTGTGTGAGTTGCAGTGTGTGTGAGGCTTGCAGTGTATGTGCGTTTGGGGCAGTGTGTGTATGGGGGCACTGTGTGTGTGTGGGGGGCAGTGTGTGTATGGGGGGCACATTATGTGTGTGTGGGAGGGGCAATGTGTGTATGTGTGGCTATGTGTGGCAATGTGTGTATGGGTGGCAGTGTGTGTATGGGGAGCATTGTATGTGGGGCAGTGTGTGTATGGGGGGCACTGTATGTGTGTGTGGGGCAGTGTATGTATGTGTGGGGCAATGTGTGTATGGGGGGCTGTGTGTGTGTGGGGCAATGTGTGTATGGGGGGCAGCAGTGTGTGTGGGGCACTGTATGTGTCTGTGGGGCAATGTGTGTATGGGTGTGGAGTGTATGGGTGTGAGGCAGTGTGGGTATGGGGGGCAGTGTGTGTATGGGGGGCAGTGTTTGTAGGGCAGTGTGTTTGTGTATGGGGGCAATGTTTATGGGGCAGTGTGTGTATGGGTGGGAAGGAGGGTAGGGAGGCTTTTTAATAATGTTTTTATTTAATAAAATAAATATATTGATGTCCCACTCCCTTCTTACCTTTACTGAGTATCCAACAGCTCAAAATACATAGTAAAAACAAAGAGAACGTTACCTGCGCTCTGGCCTAAATCCCTATGTACATTGTTTAAATGTACATAGGGATTTAGGCCAGAGCGCAGGTAACGTTCTCTTTGTTTTTAGAGTGAACTCTAGCCCGTAGCTCCAGGGTGGTGGTAACCACGGCAATGCTCTGTGCTCGCGAGAGTAGGACCCGGAGGAGCTGCAGGCTGAGTTCCCGGGTCCTCTCTCCCTCCCCTGCCGGTTGCCAGCACGGTGCCTACGGACCAGGGAGGGAGATCTCTGATCTCCCTCCCCGATCCGCAAGCACATTGCAGGGCTGGCACTTGGACAATGCCAGCACTGCATTAGCCGGGAGGGGAGAATCTCGGGGAATCTTGATATTTGATTTAGGTTTAAGCTTTGGGCCAAATGTCATGTTAATTTAGTTTACACATGTGAATTTACTCTTTTAGGTTCTAGAACTTCTGACGGTAATTTACAAACACTAGGAAATCGTCATCATCCTCGGTTTATTTACTACTCTCGGCATAAGTGTCTGGTAGGTTAATTTGATTTTGGGCCCACGATCTGGCCAGCTTATACCATAAGCACAGATGCTTATATGTTGATTTTCATGACCACAGATATTATTACAACCGTTGCTTATTTCTACATTGACAAATCGTCCTGTCTCACATATCAGGTACTACGCCAGATCCCAGTACTTTATATTTAGAGTGGTACTGGTCCTAGGCTACGTGGCCCAATTAGGAATATATTTTCTGGTCTTAATCCATAGGCTAGTGGTCCCGCGAGGCCAACACCCTCATCCTCATACTCAGAGGAATACGTCCCTCGGGCCAAATCATAGCTAGCCGTCTCGCATAGTTGCATAGAGAGGGCCTCACCTATCACTCCCATTCTATATTATGTTTTAAATTGCCACCGAGAGGCCAACACCCCGCCACAACGTTCGGTGGCCTCATACTTTCCCCTCGGGCCCACGCATAGGTAGTGCCTCTCAAGATCCCAGTACTTTATATTTAGAGTGGTACTGGTCCTAGGCTACGTGGCCCAATTAGGAATATATTTTCTGGTCTTAATCCATAGGCTAGTGGTCCCGCGAGGCCAACACCCTCATCCTCATACTCAGAGGAATACGTCCCTCGGGCCAAATCATAGCTAGCCGTCTCGCATAGTTGCATAGAGAGGGCCTCACCTAACACACCCATTCTATATTATGCTTTAAATTGCCACCGAAAGGCCAACACCCCGCCACAATGTTCGGTGGCCTCATACTTTCCCCTCGGGCCCACGCATAGGTAGTGCCTCTCAAGCTGCCTGGCAATTAGCAGGGACTCATCTGTCACTATCACGACGTATAATTGTTTCGCTGCTTGGTATCTAGCTAGCCTTACCAGTACCCACCCAATTCATTACAGAGTGATTGATTAAAGCTACCTTATATTTTTCAGTTATGTAAAATACTGATATCCCTGAGGAACTTTCGCTACCCTGCACGCCCGCTAGGCCTGGTACCCCTGTTCCTGGAACAGATGTTAATAGTCCTTCGTCCCTCAGATCATGGACCATCCCACGTCTCACTGCAGAACTTAGAAGATGCTGAATCCCTTTCCCAGCAACTGCTAGGAAGGCGGAGTTGTTTAGACTTTTAAACACTACCACTGACAACTCCGATGCAGGGGAAGGCCCTAGTGGGACCCAGTTGCCAGCTTTTCACGCCATGATGACTTCTTTTATGTCATCCATTGGCACAATTAGCGATAGGCTGGATAAATTGGAAGCAAGTGGTGCCAAACAGACAGCTAGAAATCCAATTGTTGCCAGTCACCCTCTTGCTGATATTATGCCTGGTAATTCATTGGAATCTATATCAATTATTGAATCTATTAATCCTTCGCACATGGTCCCATCTCACCTTAAAAAGGACATTCTGGAAGGCAAGGATGTAAACCTGGTTTCATTGCTCATAGCCTCCCAGGATGTCCTAGAGAATAGGACCTTTGCATATGGGGATATATCAGTAGTGCTAAGGGCAAGAGACCCGAGGCTGAACAAATAATTGACCATCCCTGAATTCATACTAGGTTTTGGGATCTCTAGGGATGTCTACTACTCTGTATACCCAGGGAAAAGAGCAGAGCTGGATGCATACATGGATGCATAATTTTTACGATTACCACCATTCCTTTTCTGCAAAAGTGGCTGCGGCTCTTGCTCAGTTCAATTTAAGCATTAATTGGAGCAAATTGGACACCGAGTTATTCTGCAGGCACTTTGCAGGCCTCAGGCCTCCAGCTTGTGCAGTTTGTGCATCTACCGCACATCACACAAATTTCTGCCCAAACACAGCAGAAATTGAACAAAATCAAACTACCTCTAACTTTTCAAAATCTGCTAGGGGATTAAAAGACAAACTGGGTAGGGATATTGTGTTTCTAGGTAAATCCCAGGTTTGCAACAACTTTTTGCTGGGAATTGGGGTTTCAGCTCTTGCAAGCTGATGCATGTATGTTCCCACTGTTTCAGGGCCCATGCCAAGACTATGTGCCCGAATAAAGTGTTCCCCAAACCGAATCACACGTGTGTACATCACATTATTGACCTCGCTATTACAGCTACACCCATCACGCCATTTCATTGACTATATTATCATGGGAATGACTGAGGGATTTCACACCAGGTTGGTTCATTCACCTTCCGGTACACTGGAATGCGACAACCTACAATCCACAGTTGATAAACACTCTTATCACGACTGAGGTGAAACAAGGGTTTCTGTTGGGGCCACTCTTTTCCCCACCCTTCACTGTCATTTAGGAGTTAAATCACTTTGTTTCTGTTTATGCAGCCCTAGCCACACCTCCCCTGGCTGTGATTGACAGAGCCTGCATGAAAAAAAACCTGGTTTCACTTTCAAACAGATGTAATTTACCTTAAATAATTGTATCTCAATCTCTAAATTGAACTTTAATCACATACAGGAGGCTCTTGCAGGGTCTAGCAAGCTATTAACATAGCAGGGGATAAGAAAATCTTAATTAAACAGAACTTGCAATAAAGAAAGCCTAAATAGGGCTCTCTTTACAGGAAGTGTTTATGGAAGGCTGTGCAAGTCACATGCAGGGAGGTGTGACTAGGGTTCATAAACAAAGGGATTTAACTCCTAAATGGCAGAGGATTGAGCAGTGAGGCTGCAGGGGCATGTTCTATACACCAAAACTGCTTCATTAAGCTAAAGTTGTTCAGGTGACTATAGTGTCACTTTAAGACAATCAAAAACCAGCACAGAAGGATGTACTATTCAAATTCCCCTGTACCCCACTCACAATAAATGGTGCCCAGTACAAGTTTTGAATACTTATTCCCTTTCAGTCCAAAAACAACCTCAACAGCCTTTGTTCGAACTGCATGGACACACTCTGACCACAGCTAAATTCATGCTTTACGTACGACCACTGTTGACCAGGCTCGGCCTAAACCCCAATAATTTTTCAGGTCACTCTTTCCGTATAGGGGCAGCATCTTCAGCATCCGCTAATCACATACCCGCTCACATTATTAAGGCTATGGGACACTGGAAATCCTCCGCCTACACACTCTACATACCTAATCCTGTTAAAGAATTAAGACAAGCTTTCTGCGACTTATCTCAATAAATGAAGTTGGTTCACGAATTACGTTTCCTGGTAATTTTCTTTTGCCCACTTTTTATTATAGGCCTACTGCTTTGTCGGTTCCGGCACACCACAACCGACTGGTTCCAATTCATGGATGTTATGTTTATAATATGCTAAGATTTCTGTGTTCAGCCATATTGACCCGACTACAAATTTGAAGGCTTGGCCTGTAATTGTGGGAGGGGCTTGGTTCCCCTTTAAAAGGGCTGCCAATCCCCTCCCACCTTACCGTTGCTGGTCTGGCGAGTCAACCCTCCCACCACTCCCTCTATTCATAACACCCTCTAAGGTGGGCCCACTTTTTATTACAGGCCTACTGCTTTGTCGATTCTGGCACACCACAACCGACTGGTTCCAACTCATGGATGTTATGTTTATAATATGCTAAGATTTCTGTGTTCGGCCATATTGCCCCAGCTACCAATATATGTATATAAATATATATACTAATATACTATAAGACCGTGAGTGCAGCCTACATTTTCATTTTGCTTATACAAATATCCCTACAAGGATTGGCACCCGGCGAGCCTATTGGCTATTTACAAGGAATATTGAGCATGAGTGCAAGGAAATTTGTACTATATATATATATATATATATATATGTATTTATATATATTATATATATAAAATATATATGTAACATCATACGTAGTGTATTTTAATGTTAATATAAGTACATATATTAGTATTAAACTACTCTTAGAATGAAGTTAGATATATATAAGATGTAAGATGTAAAGAGAGAAAGAATAAAGAGAGATAGAATAAAAAGAGAAGGAATAAAGAGTGTGTGATTTATTTATTTATTTATTTATTTATAAAATATTTTACCAGGAAAGATACATTGAGATTTCTCTCGTTTTCAAGTATGTCCTGGGTCCACAAATCATTGCATTGTTACATTAGGTACAACAAAATACAAAAACAATATTAATACACAATATATACAAAAATTTAACATAGAACAGGCAGGAAATATATAATCAACCATGACACGTGCATTCTGTTTTGAGGTATGTAGAGAGGGATCTCTTAAAAGACTTTAGGCTTAGGGAAGATTTTAAATTGTGCGGGAGGTCGTTCCACAATTGCGGCGCTCTGTAGGAGAAGGAGGATCGGGCCGCTTTCTTTTTGTATTGAGGTAGACTAAGTAAAGTGCTTGTACTGGATCGGAGGTTATAGAAAGTGGGAACAGCTGGGGAAAGCATTTTGTTCAGGTAGGGTGTGAGTTTACCAGAAAAGCTCTTAAAAACAAGGCTGGAAAGATGAAGGGTGCGTCTGGATTCCAGCGACAGCCAGTTTAGTTCCTTTAGCATGTCACAATGATGGGTCCTGTAATTACATTGTAGCACAAATCTGCAGAACGAGTTATACAATGTGTTGAGTTTATTAATGTGGGATTGCGATGCAGACGCATATACTA